GTGTAAATTAAACCCCTTGAGTGCAATTCTATATTGTAGCGTGCAATGACTGTTGAAAAACGTGTGTGTAATGCATATAAGCTTGGTGTGATCATCTATCTGATTATGACATGAATATGTATGGATATGTTTTAAATAATAAAGTATGGATAATGCTATGATATTATGAAGTGATTACTTGTATGCTAAATAATGACTATGTATGATTGCTACATGCAAAGTGTTGAGAAGTGCATTATGTTGAAATGCATTTATGTGATCATTACTTGTTCTTGTTCGTTCTGGTTGAGCGTTCAGATGTGTTTGCCTTGGTGGCTTAATGTGATTACTTGTACCATGCTATGTGATCTCGATATGTGTTATGTTGTGTGATCTCAGTGGATGTATACTTGAATCGGAGTAGGCCCGACTACTAGGTGGTAAATCACTTATGACCGTAGACTGTATGTCAATTGTATCATTGTGATGTGCTTGTGTAGGCATAAGTTATAGGGAATTTCCACCAGCCGTTAATAGCATATGCATTCTCGGTATATCATACACACCTGAGCTACCATTGTGATGTGCAGTTGGGGGTCCTTTGGGGTATTTCCCCACTTATGGCGATCATATCGATGTGCTTGGTATGGTGAGATAATGATGCCATGTAGGAAATATCACTATGATTTGCTTGCCTCTAGTGGTGCCAAATAGGCTACACCACTAGGATTTCTCCCGGTGGGCTCGTGCTGTAAAGATGGCATTTTGCCTATGATTTTGCCCATAGATTTTGGATAGATGATGGGGCCGTGACGCAACATAGGCAATGTCACCACTGTAACTCGTCACAGATGGAATTACACCTAGGAATGATACGGACTATCATTTTATGGGATATACCAAGTCTCTTGATGTGATGCACGGGTGTAACTCATAGAGGGTGTGATAGTGTAACCTAGGTAGGGGAATTAACGTACTTCTAGATTCCTCGTATACGGGTACGAGTCTGCATACTTGTTTGTGTTTGTCTATGTGTTTTACTTTATCTCT